GAGAACAGAAGGACTGTAACTATACATTAAAAATGCTATTTATTTTTTTTCGTTAGCCAATATATTTTAGAAAGGCAGGAGCAGCATAATGACCTTTCAGATTTAATCTTTTTTCTCTGCTTAATAGTTAGCAGAGTTTTCAGAGAATTCAGAGGAGTAGACTTTATTTATGTTTTTAAATAGAGAACATGGCTAGTGGTTGGTGAAACATAAACTGGTTACCAGTGGGTATCACTGAGAGAGAAAAAAAGATTTGTACTGTTTAGTTAGACTGGACTGAGATTTAAGCATAATGATCCACAACTTAAATCTGATTTCATGTTAACAGACCCTCACCTCTTTCCCCTATGAATGCATTTCAGAGCTACTTCTACACAACACTCACCGCAGCTTTTAATATGGGATAAACCACTTGTTCTGTGAAGCTCTGTTGGACTGAAGGGTCAGATGGCAGGCTTGTGCAGCCTCAAGCCTGCATCCCTTTTGTGTGACCCAGGACACTTTCCCATCCCACTGATGAGTGATAAGAGGGAAAATTCCGAAGGAGAGAAACATCCACACCTTCCATGGGTTATCCCATGGGCCAGGGAGAAAGCAGTCCTCACGGATACTCATGTGATCCATCTGTGTATTTACACACTAGAATATATTTACACTAGAACAGCAACAATAAGAAAGGGACACATAGGATTACAGTCCGGTGGCTGCTGTCTGCAGGCAGGAGGCTGCTAGAGAACAGGCTTGAATTTGTGTCTTTCAGCTCCAGGCAGTGTGTGGCTCATCCTGAGACAGGAGATTTTCTTGTTCATTCCATGCACATAACAATCCTCCCGCTCCCCATAACGTCCTGGCTTCCTTCCAGTGAGGAAATCTAAGAAAGCTGGGAAAGTGTAATGGATGACAAAGACATTTACCTCTAGCTCTACTAGAAAAAATCCATGCTCAGACAACTCCAGCTCACTGCGCTGTTCATCAGTGAAGTACATAGCTCAAATTTTGCCCAGGGCCTTTTATAATTCTTTCTTTTTTTCTTTTTTTCTTTTTTTATCAACTACTGTGTGATGAAAGAAGTTAGCAGCACTCATTATTATTCTGCTCTGCTGTTATCTCCTGAGTCCTAAACACCCAGGAGACCCCTGGTTTTATTTATTACAGTAGTAAAAGAAATCCTGACACCAGCTGCTGGAAATACATTTTTCTTGTATTGTTGCATAGCTGAAAGTCTTTGTGGACAGCCCTGTTCTCTTGACTTGTCTGTCACACTATTTGTAGCCAGAATGTTAACTGCTTCTCTTACAGAAATTTAAGTTAATTTTAGAAATTTTAATTGATAATAAAACCAATCTTTACTAGCTTTAGAGCACTTCAGCTTTTTTCTTCTGAGGCTCTAATTTGAGGGGGGGAGGAGTATATTAATTTTTAATTAGAGTATCATCCCCAAACTTCATAAACACAAAATGTCTTTATGCTCATGTTTTCTAAACTAGGATCTGAAATATGAAGGTCTTATTCTATGAGATACTGCACCCTGTAGTCAAATCCAACCTAGGATACAAGCAGCTGCCCATAGGAAAGGTCAAACTAAGCATCTTGCTTATTGCCTCTTGGATTGGATCAACATCCCATCACAGGCATTTCTTACCCTCTTTCCCAAAAACACATGTGACAAATGGGGCTGCCTCAGCTGCAAAAAGGATTGTCTCTTCCATGGCAAGAACCTTCCATCTAATGAGCTGTATGATCAGCTTCTAAAAAAGAAAAGGCTCTGACAGACAAGTGAGTTTAAGGTTTTCCTTTCATTACTTCTGGCATTTTCCTGATACCATGTAGGATGTGCTTGTGAATAATCCATTTGTACAAAAATAACATAGTTTTAGAAGTGCTTATTTTCCCAGTGATATCAGCAAGAAAGCAGTTGTTTACTGTGGTTTCATTTTAAACTTGCTTCACCACTGTGTATATTACACTCTACTGGAAAACCATGTAATCCCTTATTACTGAACTCTTTGGTTTTCTCTCTGTCTCTTTCTGCTAAGTTTTATTATGCTCTTCACCATGTCATGTCTGAAATTAGACTGAAAACACTTTGGGAAAGCAACGGAATTATCTGATTTTTATCAAGAGATGCTCTGAGAGAACATAAAGCTCTCTCCAAAATAAAATAAAACCAACTGCAGCAGCTGGAAGTAAGGAGAAAAAATGAATGCAATAAACACTCAACAAAATTGACCAGCATTTTTTAAAAACCCTACAAGAATGTATTTGGATGTAGCAATGTCCTTGGATGATAGCAGGAGGCTGATTAGGTGTTTTGCACTCAAAGAAAGTATTGATACCATAACTTTTCTCTGTATAGGTATCTAAGACTATGGCAAGGAATCCTATGTATTCTTTCCTGTTAGCACTGTTTCCTCCTTCTTCTGACCTTCACAGCTCAGAAGTTAAAATTAGGCCTTTAAATCATTGCTGTGATACAAATACTTTTGCTCTCTTTGAGGGGCCCAGGAGTACAGTTTGGCTAACCCACCTCTCACCACCTTTAGGGTCACATTAGAGTAGCATCAGTATGAAAAATAAAAGCTTGGAAAGCAAAAGGAAGACTGAGTTTATCGAACAAGAAAGAAGTGGGCAAAGTGAGTATGAGAATGCCTTTTATTGAACCAAGAAGGGCAGGTAGAACACAGGAGGTACAATGTAGAGGTGACAATCATAAATACCTATTATTTTGGGAGCAATGCATAACAGTGAGAAGAGAGATTGCAGGAAACTGGAATTACATAATGGAAAATTATACAACATAAAAACCTCATTTGTCATTTCAATCACAGACCGGCACAGACATAATACTACATGCAGTTTCAGCTGCTCTAGTTAGAGAAACACGTAATAATTCTTATAAGAATACACATTTTAAAATTCTATAAACTGTGATACTGTGGAAAAAACAGTGAAATGTTACAGTATTTCTCAGATAGGTAGAGAGATAAATAGATAGATAGATAGATTGATAACACCTGCCACTTTCAATCCTGTGTTATTTCCAGCCTGTGATATGTACTCCAGAAGTCTGAGAAAGAGTTGTACATTTACCACAAAGTGTGTGTTAAAGAATGGCATAAACTCTCAGGGACATGTACTAGGAGAACAGGATGTCTTCCTAATGAGGTAAAATGTAGAAACACAGCTGAGATAGAATAAGAAGCTGTATTACATTAAGTCTTTTTTAGGAAAAGAATAATAGAGAGGAAAAAGAAAGGAAAGGTTTGGAAGGTTTGGGAAGGGAAGGTTTCGAAAGGTTTGGGAAGGTTTGAGAAGGGAAGGTTTGGGAAAGTTTGGGAAGGGAAGGCAAGGTTTGGAAAGAAAAAGTTTGGGAAGGTTTGGAAAAAGGGAAGGTTTGGGAAGGTTTGAGAAGGGAAGGTTTGGAAGACTTGGGAAGAGAGGGTTTGGGAAGGGAGGGTTTGGGAAGAGAAGGTTTGGGAAGGGAAGGCAAGGCAAAGCGAGGCAAGGGAAGGCAAGGCAAGGGAAGGCAAGGGAAGGGAAGGGAAAGACACTGTAACTTGTCTAATGAAGTGATTAGGAGATCTGGAGGTCTGGTTTATGAGCAAATGAATAGGTCATTAAAGAGTGAATTAAATATCAGACTGTAAAGGGCCAACATGGCACAGAACAAATGTCGGGAATTGCATCCTTGTTAGTACAGAAAACTAATGAGACAAATTGCACAACTAGGTTTTCTTTTCCATGGTAATCAGATGTATAAAGACTGTACATGAATGACTGCTGCATCCACAGACATAGCATTCAAATCACCTTGAGAGTGATCTTGTTTGTTGAAACGAACAAGCATTTTTTGTTTTATAATTGGGACAAGTAGAAGGGAGCAAAGTGGGCTTTGTACTTTTATCTGAGGGATCTATTTCCTTGGAAAGATAGACTTTTAAGGTAGTATGGATTTCTACAGTGATTCACCAAGAACTGACTTATGCACCTGCAAGCTAGCAGACCACTGGCAGAGGAAAAAATTTTTACAGAGTAGTTAAAGGAATGACAAAGATTTCTTCAAAAAGTAACCTTGTTACTTATTATTTCTATTTATTATTTATTATCGTATTCTTCAAAAAGAAATTTCTTGTTTTTGTAAAAGAGAGGGGAAATGAGAAAGGTAAGTAAAAGGGAAAGAAGAAGGGAATCCACTATTTCAGTAATCACAATGATGTTTTATGGGAGGACCTTGGTTTCGCTTCTCAGGGCATCTTCAGTTTCTCACAGGACTGCACTTCATGGTCTTCTGCAAAACTACTCATGACAATTTTTATTTTTTTATATTTTTATTCTACTATTTCTTATGACATTTGAGAAACAAATTTCTACTATTTCTTATGACAGAGAAACAGAGGAATAGGATGCTGGTTAATGAGATGTTTGGAAGCTAAGCTACCTCTATTTAAAACAATGAAGTGATTAGATTGCCTTTCCAGACTGAAACACTCCTCAAAAAGGAGAAAATGAAATTAACTGTCTAGTTCCCAAAGTTGTCATTAAGTTTCAACTGAACACATTTGTGTGTTTCAAATCAACCAAAATTTGTTCTGATTAAAAACAAAACAAAACAAAACAAAACAAAAAGAACAAGGGACTTTAACTTAATTTAGTAATTGCATATGGTATTTTCACATTAAAGGACTAATTGATAACAACTGTCATTTAAAAACAAGCTACTTTATGAAAGTACATTTCTCCATAGATTTCCATAATGTTTTTTACTATGACTAAATTAGGACACAAGCTAAATACCTGAATACTTCATTGCTTGATAGACTAAACTTCGTTTGATGTGTTCCAGTTTATGATGTAAATTGTATCATATTAAAATTTATTGATGCTATTTAATTGGAAGACGGCAGCATTTCTCATTAGCTACTTAAAATGAGACCAACAGCAGAAAAATATCAGTATGAAAGCTTACAAACAAAAATCTTGCAAATCAAAAGAATCCTGCTCATTTATTGATGTCTTACACTGAATAAAATCACTTCAACCCACAAATAACAATCATAATAGTGAGTAATTAAAGCAAGGGACAAAGTCAGGACTACAATATTCTATTCCCAGTTCAGCTACTGACTCACAGTGTGATTTTGCTCATTTACCACCTATAAAATGGAAAATGTGATAATGATAATGACAGGGATAATAATGCCTACATAAAAGAAGCACTAGGAGTCTTAATGTTTGGAGAGAGCTTTGAGATAGAGCTGCTAAACATGGAGTATAATTAACAAGGGACTACAAGCTTGCACAATTTGTACATTCTTTTAGAAGTAAAGATAGGTGAACTCTGTGTATCTGAGATACCACAAGTCCTGTCTTGTAATAGCTTATTTGGGAAACCATTATGTTTCGCAGTTGCCATTACATTGTATTGGAACCAGGCTTTTAAGAAGACCTAACTATTTGCCAGTCATTAACACATGAGTCTTTAAAGGCAGTTCGAAATAATCTCATCACTGTGACTACTGGCTACGGCTTGTCTTGTTGTATTCTCTTCTTTGTAGAGATGTGTAACAATGCATTTATATGAAAGACAGGAGAACATGAACACATGAACAAGGAGAAGAGTTTCAGTGACTTGGTGAATGCTGAATGCCTGAGGCATAGGTGAGCTTGGAGATTTTCTTATACTATAAATCCATCCTGCAAAGTCTCTGAAAATAGACAAATATAATCCCAGCGATCATTTTCATGACCAGTTCAGATGTCCACTCTGAGGACAGTGATATTCTTCTGCTTGTTGAAAGCCTTTGAAAATAATGGATTGCATTAGAACAGAAATCTAGTAAGAATGTGAATGAGATACTTTGGAAAGGTGAAGTCTCCCTTGCTAAAAGGCAAATAAAACAGTAGCTGGCAGACTACAGGAACTAAAAGCTTTTTTTTGTAAGTTTAAATTTTTCTAAAACATATTCCAACCATGACATTACAAACCCATTTCTATTTTCTCCAAAACCAGGGAAATCTCTCAGACCATCATGAAATGAAAACTGTAAAGGCTGTAAGAAAACAGCTTGATTCTTCTAAGCTAGTTATGGTTTATTATCATTAATTACGTCCTGACATTAGAAGTCCACACTAAGTCAGCTTCATGATACTGAGACATTAAAGAAGGATCATACTCTACAAAACCATCGTTTGATTAAAGAACCAGTGAGGTAAAGCAAATTAGCTAAGGGCACAGAATGGGTCAGTGGTAGAAGAAGAGCAGTCCCTGGATTGCAGCATCTATGACGTACATATGGAGCATAAAAGACAATGCTTCCAGCATAAATTGGTAGGCCATCCAAACCTAAAGGAGGTTATAAAGCTGTAAATATTTTGCACCAAACCTAGCTGCCCTGCCATGTTACCTTTTATGGCCCTGCTCCTCTCCTTTTAACCAGGTCTCTGGAGCGGCATCCTCCTCATTTCACATCTCCATTTTGTTATTTAATATTTCAGAGATGGAGAACAGTTAGCTGGTGACAGGGTCCCAAGGAGAGTTACGGGGAAGAAAGAACAGGATGGGCAGTAAGCACGTCACTCAGTGTCTTAAGATTTCTCACTGCTGAAAGATTTCATTTTGTGACAGAGAGTCCAAAAAAACCCCACATTTCTCTAGAAGAGAACACACATAGATTGCTGCAGCTTTTCTCTTAAAAAAAAAAAAAAATCTAAATGCTATTGGGCAATGACTATGTGTCACTGAATAAGAAAGACTGGGAGGGAATACCTTTCATGAAGACTCTATTCTGTAGCTGTCTTTGTAGTCTTTCCTGAACATCTGTATGAAATGCTCAGCACCACTCTCAGTAAAAAGCTAGATATTGCATGCATGAGGGTTGGTTTTATGTTCTTAATTGAGCAGAAAGTGTGGTGTGTCTCTGATTTGTTAGCGACATTACTGGGGAGCAGAATCTTGGGAGAGCTTTCTGAGGACAGCAAATGGGATAAACCTAGACAGAACTTCTGTAAAACATAGAACATAAACCACAAAACTTCTCTGGACGAAAAAGAACCATTTGTGATGTTGTACTAAACACATTGCTTGGTAGGATTTTTGCCCATGAAACACTAAGGATTATGGGAACATGTAAGGACTCCAAATCCACAGTGATAAGAGCAACGATTCCCTTATTTGTACCTGTGATTAGGGTTCACATAATTTGCTCCTCAGAACCTCCTTGCCACTTTTGTTTTTCTGCATTAAAATGGCTTTGATGAGTATTGCTTGTAACAACAAGGAAATTGTTTCTTCACTTCCAGAGGTGATCCAAAACCGCAGAGAAGGGTTGCAATGAAGGCTATAGAGACTTCATTGATTAGGCCATGTCCAATGGTTTTTTTCATGCTGTACTGATCCTGGCACTGCTCCTCTCATCTCAGGATATGGTAGATTTTTTGGTTTTCAGTCTCATTTTGCCATGACTTTCCTGAGAAAAGCTGAGTAGGAGGCACAGAATATGTGTCATGGTAGTGTCAATGGAGAGCACTCACTTGTGAGGATGGCTGGACAGCATCCAAACAAACATAGTCAATATTTTATGAAAAAAGCCTTACAAAAGATTCATTGACTCTTCTTTCTATCTAGGCCAATGCTCTCCTTTTGCCTTATCACAACTCAGTCATGTATACTCTTCTTGCTGCAAGACTCACTCACCTTTTTCCTAGCATCTTCAGCAGGAAACTGGCTTGACTGCTTCCCTCCTCCTTTTCAGTGCCACTGCTGAATCTCCCTGGGAGTTTCCTTGCCCTGTGTCTGAGCCCAAGTCCCTATAATATGAATGGGAGAACTTTGTAGGCCGGGTGTATCATGTGTCCCTCACTGGATCACATACACACCCCAGTGGTATTCTCCCCACTCTGAAAATTTTGTATCTGAAGCCTTGGATACACTTCAGATTTGTTGAGCTGTAGAGGAATAAGGTCTGTGATTTCAAGACAGTGGAGTCAGAATAAATTATGCCAGGGCACACAGTTCCTCCAAATGGCATATACATACTCAAGGAATACTAACTGTTTCTATAGCTGAATAATACATGCAGGCTGTTTTACATATGGGCAGTTGTAGGTGAAAAATGTCCTAAAATTGAAGAAGAAGCATTGAAATCATTAGCTACACAACTTCAGATTCTCGTTGCGGCTAGCTGAAATATGTTCTTAGCTTCTTGTCAGGTATTGGTGCCAGATGCCTGGGGTGCTGCTGAGCCTCCAGTGCAGTACTGCTCTTGCACTTTTAATTACAATTGCCACCACGGAAAAACCATTTGGCATATTTCTGCATAAATGACTAAGGAATCCAAGAATGTTCTTAAGCTTGTTCTTCAAATCTAGAAACTTTCGTTATTATCTGAAAATTAGGGTATTTATCTTATTTTTAACTCTTTGCAATGTGCCCTGGTGAACTATTCTGGCCTGGACTTTCTTCCCTCTGGCTTCTCAGTCGTTGCCCTGCAACAGTATCAAGATTTCAAATGAGCAAATGAACACAGTTTGTGCCACCATATTCTGGTTTCTCCATCTTTGCTTTGCACTGCCTGCTCATTCCTCATATCCTACGCATAAGGCAGATTTCTCAGCATCTTCAACTTACTTCCTTTACGGATGGTATTTCTCAGGTTGTCAGTTCCACATCATCTCCAAATCCGCACATCTTGTTCTACATTTCCTTCTGTAAGATAACCGCTATCTCCTATATATAGCAAAAACAGAACAGGCTCAACATATTGCCACTTGTCACTCTTATCCCACTGTCTCTCTCCATCCCTCTGTCCCATTTGCCATCTCTGGTTTCTGTTAGCAAACCAACTGAGCATTTCATCGTCAGTGTTCTTTTGTTAACCTTACAGATTATTCTCTCAGTAGGCATGGAAAACTATCCAGAAGTCCTTGTGAAGGATGCCCACACATTCACCCTCTTCCATTCTCGTTTTCTCCACCTGAGCAAGATGAGCCAAGATGGCAAAGTTTGAACCTCTTTTTTTCTGCCTGTGCTGAGAATCTCTTATTAACTGTTTCTGTCCAAGTGCTCAATATTTGCTCCTCACCAACTTCGCTGAGCCTTAGAACAAAAGCCAGAAAAACATTGTGTAATCTCTACTTCTTTGAACCTTTTTGATTTTATTTTACAAGCCAAAGTAGGTATCTGTTCTCTAAGTGCAGTAGACTCAATCTTCAGTTGGCATCAGATCAATAGAGCTGCACAGTTTTTAGCCCAGTCAAAGTTTTCTGTGTCTTTAGCTTCTAGTACACCTATCGCTGCATAATCTGAGATCTGTGAGCAGTTCATATCACTTTAACAGGTACCACTTGTTACTGAGCATACACATGCTCATCGCTGAACTGAAATCCGGCGTACACCAACTTTGGCTCTGTGAAGGTGGTTTAAGTTAACACATTTTTTTATCTTACAGCCAGGGAGAGCTAAGAGCATGCACCCACACACTTACGAAGCCTCAGCATATGAATGGTAATTTATTAAGTGGTACGACCCAATCACTTTCATTTAGTGCCCGTATTTTACAAGCAAAATATTCTGTCTCTTTTATTTCCATTGGAAAATTTAAGACCTGTACCGAAGTGTCCTCTTGGAGTTTTGGTTGGCTCTGGCTGTGTTTCTAATCCTTTAAATCTTTATAGATTTAAACCAAAGCAGAACAGAAGCTTCTTGAAACACACATAGCAGACAGCATGAATCTTCTCCTCTGTTTTAATTTAAATATTCTTCTCATACAGCTTTCTTAGTAAAACCTTTTACCTTTAGGTATTGGAAGATACAAAAAACACACTCTTTGAAGTGTCAAAATCTATGCTTGACTGTGATGCAGAGGTGACAGGAACAGGACAGGTGACTTCATTGCCTTTTCTGTCTGCAAATGTCAGAAATTCCAAAGGTGATTGTTCATAATAGAATTACAAAACCTCATCCTTGGCCATATTGATCACCACCATTGGTCTACCCTGGCCTCCAATTGGGAGGCCTGGAGACAGACACACCATCTATAACGCTGCTGCTGCTTTTGAGAACACACGCAGGATCACTCTCGAGGAGAAAAGACAGCACAGAAAGAATCGCGTCTCGTCGATATCACCTGGGGAGTCTTTCTGCTGTGCCTTCTGCAACCGGACTTGTCTATCTCGCATTGGCCTTCTTAGCCATCAGCGCGCTTGTAGCAAGCGTGGGTAGAGCCCTTCTCAAATCTTTGTTCGCGAAGCCTAGCTATGATGATGACAAAACACAGTCACTGTGTGTCAATAAACACATTTACTTAGGTTATGAGGTTTTTCTAATTGTAGGTGAGGCCTTATTTTTCTGCTAGTAAGTCTTAGGAATGCTCCTGATAGCACAGGAACCCTCCTTCTCTATCTGTTCCCCCAGCGAATCTAAAGGAAACTGTTGAGGAAACATACATGAACTCATTTTGGATGTCCACAGAATATACTGTGAGCAGGTTCTTCTTCATGATAGAAAGGCCAAGTCAGATCATACCCCATGGCAGAGTGAGGTGGAGGGGTCCTTCTTTGGCCTCTCCAAGACTGCCCTTGCTGGAGATAAACTTGGTTTCAGGCATTTCAGTGTGAGACCCATCCATTCAGAGCAGAGCCTGAGCACCACCTCCAGCTACACCACAGGAACAAATGGTTGAACAACCACCAGTTCTGTTCTGACCAACATTTCAAGGAAGTTTTAGGTGTGGGTCATTCACTGTATACCACCCTACAGGATTTTCACCTTCCTTGTTCTGGGAGTAATGTTAACTATCCTGGTAATGCTTTGGTCTATGTTCTGATAGTAATTTTACCTGAAACATTTTATCCTTGTTTTAGTCACCAGCCTCTGTTAGATTTAAGTAGTTTGGTGGGGTTTAGTAGGAAATATAACATGTCAGGAAACCATGCTACCCGATTTTCCAAAAAAATTTTGGCATCTCTCCTTACACATGTACACATGATCTCAGTTATCTACATTTAAAGCAACTTCTAAAGACTCTATATTTACTAACAATCCTCTAGATGTTTTCTTAATTGGTTGAATCAGTGTTCATATTCGTGGAGCCTGAAATATTTTTACCACTTTTGTTTCCACTTCTGAAGATAATTTGTAAGTTACTTTCAAATTTTTATTTTATAAACTACTGTTACACACTTATCTTAAAACATGCCCTGTTTTATGTATTGATGTTTATAACCTCTTTGGAAGTTTAAACTTCAATGCATTTGCTGGCCAAAATGCGTTTCTTCCTAATGATGAAATACATATTGCTTTACAATGTTAGGATTACTGACATCTGTTTGACTCTAAGCAACTTAGTAAGGTCAAAGGAAGAATCAGATTTTTATTTGCACAAGAGGTATAGCCAGGGCTATAACTGTTAATGCTAACAATGTTAGCGGGGGGGAATGTTTAATGTCACGTCTTAATATCAAATGTGAGGACCATATAATCTGCCTGCTGCATAGTTCATGACACTGATATCTGAATCACCTCTTCCCAGCTTTTCTTAGGATCCAGCTACCTCTTTAGAGAAAACCATACATGCAAAAACACAGAAGCAGTGCAAGCAACTTCTTCTCTTGTTGCATTTGCCCCCCCGTTCCACAGTTCGATCTGCTTAGCTAAATGTCCGCTAAGTGGACAGAAATGGACCAGAAAAAACTCCCAAGCAGACTGTCAGACTGAGGTTTGTGTATGGCTCTCTATTTCTGCCTGTAAGATCATTTTGGAAGGATGCCTGTGGTTAATATGCCTGGGTAGCAAAGAGAGTTTATTTCTGATTTGGGAGGAGCTCTTTGAACTGCCAATTGATAGTGCAAAGGAAATGTTAAAGACGGTTAGTTAACTTACTCTGACCTTCATTTCAACACAGGGGAAAATATCTGTGTCTGATCAGCCAAAAATTACACACCCTGAACTCGGATTTTGCTTTGATCTTCCTTTGATCATGCATATTTACCAGCAAAAAAAAACCTCCCTTATATTTGGGATTTGACTGCAGAATGAGGAAATAGACACAGTGACAGGGAGGTGGACAACATGTTGTATTGATTTTAATTAATAAGCAGATAAGTTCAGAGAAATATATGTAGATATATATATAGATATACATAGATGTAAATGGAAATAAACATATGTAGATTGAAAGACTGTGAACACACACACACAAAAGGATATTTTCTAATATTTTTTAAATCCAGTGTTCTAGTCTGCCTTGCTTCACGGTCAGTTGTATTTTTAGGGAATATTGTTGCAGTGGATTCTTTCCCTAGTTGTATACATCATCCTTCCAGCATTAGGGTACAACTGAGCAAGATGTAAATTCACTTGTGAATGATCTTGGAGGTCTTTTTCAACTAAATGATTCTGTGATTCTGTGATCAAACTTCATAATGTGATTAGCTCCATCCTAGCTAATGTGGCTTCTTAGCCTGGAATTGTCAGTGACCTCAGTAGTGGCTAACTGCATTTTTTGTTGTTACAGTTCTTATTTTGTGGAACACTAGAAAGGAAAAATAATTTAGTAGTACCACAAGGTTTTCTTGGTCAGATGGTGAGGTAAGTGAGAAGCCATGGTTGAAAGAACATGTCTGCCGCATCTAGAACCCAAACCAAAACATGACATATTCACAGATATAGAACCTCAGCAAAACCTAAGCCCTTGTCCTATCCCAGCTGTAGCTTGCAGAGATGTGGACACCAGTGCAAAGCTGTGCTCAGCACCACTGAGCAAAACCAACAAAAACCAGATTATAATCTAAGTTACTTGTGCTGGAAGTCAGTAAATTAGAAACTTAATTTGCCAAAGTAAACCTTGTTTTTTCAAGTGAGTAATCAGATGAGTTCCGAACATCTCAGATCAGGATTTTAGGACATGTAGCTCTGGATGAAATTGCTCACCAGGCCTTTATTTCTCTTAGGAGAGGAGAAAGGTGTTCTTCTACAGGCATTGAAGTCCACAGCTGTCCAGGGACTAAACTCTGCCTCTTAGACATCTTTACCTCCCTATCTCAAGGCAACCTTACTTTACTTTCCAAATGTCTGGGCTATGATTTTACACCAAAAAGGAGGTTGTATTTGTTCATATCTGGTAGTGGCCAAATGCCCAGGGTAGCAAAGGAATTTAAAAACCAGTTGTGTTGTTCCTGGTAATCAGATTCAAAGTATTGCCAGAAGCATTGATTAATTTACATTTTAAACTTGGATATGACTTCAGAATATGTCAAGAAGAAATTATGGGGCAATTTTAGCACTGTTAAACTAAGTATACCCTGATCATCTCTATCTGCATCTTCTGATACAGGCACAAAGGCATAAGATATTTATACTCTGGTAGCACATCCTTTGGGGATCTTTGATACTTCCCTGATAAAAATGAATTTGCCATGACAAACTGAAAACAAAAACACTAAGAAAACAAACATATGACACAAGTCATTCTTCAGGGATTCTCTGAAAGCTGCTATGACGCTCATTATAAATTATTTTGCAAAGTCATGAGATTTAGAAGCAGCAACAATGGCTACACTGCACCACATCTCCTGCACCATCAAGTGGCTAGAATCGCACACCACAGGTGTGTGGAGATAAAGAGGGGAAGGAGACACCTACACCTTTATCTGTCCTTCTTTTACCAGTGTTGGACAGAAAAGCAAATGTGGCACTATCTTAGCATTCATAAAAGGAAGAAGAA